ATTTATGCGCTGGTAACTTGTGCTTGAAAACCGATCATTCTCAATTTGAAACATTCAATTGTGTCAGTAACCATGGATGAATTCATCATTATAGTTTCTCACGAATCCTAGAACTATATGTAAAGGTAAACAACACATATTTACTACAGATGGATAAACAAGACAGAAAATACTTAATTAAATTATGTTGGTTGTTATTCATACATGCTTTTTTGTCTTCCTATTGAAAAATATGGCATGAGTTGTTGAATATAAATGTACCATGCCCAAACTTTTCCATCAGAGTTAGAGGAATACTCTCATCAAGTTCGTGAATTGGCTCCTCCGTCAAATGATTGACTGAAATTAATTACATTCAAGGATACTTAAGCAACTATCATTCATACATTGAATGTTGGTGTTTGTATCTGAAGCACATACTTACATATTTGCATCAAATGCATACATACCCTTGCGCAAATCTTATATACCTATATTTTGGTGTCATATGCTTCAATAACGAGTATATATATCCTGGTTATTTGTGCTTGGGAATCGACCATTCTCAGTTCAAAAGATTCACTTGTTGTCGGTAACCATTGATGAATTCATCATGATAGTGTTCCCATGACACTATGAATTGTATGAAAAATTAAATAACACATATTTACTATAGATGGATAAATAATTAAGAAATGACTTGAATAATTTATGTACAAGCATAGTCCAACATCTACTTAGATATCTAAACAAGTCATAAATGACTAAATTAAATTATGTTGGGTTGTTAGAGTACATGATTGCTGCCATAAATTGAAAATCTTTAAACCTATTACATAGTAGTCCACATTATACCACACACAACAATATTTGATCATAAGATATTTGCATAGGGTATGACTCCGCTAAGCAGACGAGTACTCCAGAGCCGCTCCAATATACCCTCATTTTGGTTTGGTGTACAAAAATCATACTAATTGTGTACCTATTGCATTCTTTAATGTAACAACTAAACTAAATTTAAAAAATATCTACTTCTTTATGGATAATATATTTTTAATGTATATATATATATATACATTTCTAAAACTAATGTTATCTCGATAATTTTGTTTGAGAACTGAGATTCTAATTCTTTCCATATGGAATTGAATTTGCTCGATTAACTGAAAATTATATTCGCTTCAGGAGTTTGATGGTTCGGTTTGAATATTTAATAAATCTAATGTGTTAGAAAATTTATAATTTTAATATTTAAATTAATTAAATAATTTTAAAGTAACTTTTTAATATTTAAGATTTTAAATTAATTATAAAAATTTAAAGTAACTTTTTAATACAAATATCGTTACATATTTAATGGTCTTGCAATAAGACTTATCAGATATTCACATATTCAAATAAAAACTATTTAATAGTATTTTATAAAACGATAATTCAATTGAACAACCAAGTACTTCATCATTCCTCCGATGTACCCCATCTTTATTTTAATGTACTATTTTTTCCCAACATATGTACCTGAATTGTACTTTTAGGTACCTACATACTTTCAATGAATGTTTGTGAGGATTTACACAATGACCAAAAATACCGGTGATAGATTACGAAATAAAATAAGAGTTTATAATCATCTGCATATGGGTCTCTAAGGGACGCAAACAATATGACAATTACTTTCTCCTATTTTGATAATTAATTACCAAGACTATGTTGAAATTGTTAATGTGGTAATAGCTATCACACCAACGTGCTTTGACATATCAACTACATACCCCCCAAATAATTTGTGCCTCAATTAAATTTCCAGAAACTTGTGTCATCAAATTATTATACATAAAACATGATTGTCGTATACCTTGTTTGTATTCATATATTATAGTACATCTAAGTTACAATTATAATTATACAACCAGACTCTTGTTGTTGTATAATCACCTACAACCAAACTCTTGTTGGGATCAAGGAACCTCAATGCAGCAAATGAAAATGATTTTTTTCCATTCGATTTTACAAATAGTACAAATCAACATATCGATCCAGCTTCAACTAATCCGCCCTGCAACCCAAAATATGGAGAGTTAAGCAAGATTAAGGTAAAATAATTTTTGAGAATAGAGATAAGATTCATTGGAAATTACTAGAAACTATGAAACCTTTTCAAGATACTTGCCACGACAAATAATAATATTATAGATGATAAAATTTGGAATAAATTTGTCTTACTCTATTTTTGAATGAAAAGTTTCAGTTTCTTGAACAATTCATAGTTGTCATATCTTTGTATCAATATGATACAATATCTTATTTCAAACTCTTATAATAAAAATTTTTAAACATAGCACAAACCATCAAAATTATTCTATATGTACAATTCAATCATCACAATATTATAGTAATTACTATAAAGAGATATATCATTATACTCTAATGCGTATAAGAATTCTAAATATCAACTCACATAATCCAAAAATCAAATTGTAGGTGAAAATATTTGGAAAGGTATGGTTCATAGGCATATCATAAAATTGACACATCTTTATTTTATAGTATTACACTAATCAACTTAAGAGCTCCAAAAGTACTTTCAGTCTTACAAATTCTATCTACTAAAAACCTATATAAAACAAATTATATCTCACACACAAAGAACATGACCTAGTTTAAACAATCAAAACAAAATAAAAAAAAAACTCACAATCAATCGAACATTATAATCAATAAATATTATGGCATTGGGTGTATAACGGTTGGTTGGAATCCTCAAATAGCATATATTTTTTAAAAGAGAAATGACAACCTAACACTCTCGACAATAATTTATGAAATTCCTTGGCGTTAGAACAAACTTTTTTCTGAGACATTTTATCGAACACATAAAGTGTATCATTCAAATATTTATTTCACTAATATACACATAGTATGAATCCAAAACAAAATAAACTATCTAAAATCATATATTCTTATCGAATTCTAGTATTGTAGTAATCCCCAATAGCAACAAATTACCCAATTTACAAAATAACAATTACGACCTCTTTCGCAGAATAGGAACAAAAACATCCGATAACAAAAAAAATCATTATCAAAATCACCCCAAAATTACCCACTTTACAAAACTCATACTTAATTTATAAATTCCTACTAGTTTAACACGCAACAATATTTTTCCCAAACTAGCAATTTTCTTACTAATCCAAACACGATTGATACAAATACTAACCTTGGAATTCCTCCTATTGAACCGCCAGATGTCGATTTCGAGATCGCCGGTGACAACCCTTGGAATTTCTCTGATCGATCTGTGTGACCGCCGACGACAGAGAACCGATTCGACTGGACAGAGAAACGGCCAAACAGTGAGAAAAGGGAGTGAAAAATCCGCCGGACGATGGAAGAAGAGAAACGGAAATGAATCTTTCGCACTGCTGGAAACTGGGTAATCGGACGAGAGGCTGCTTCCGGCTTCACTGGAGAAGGCTCAATGGTTTCAGGAGAAATTTGCACGAAGAAAAACAACCAAAGAATGAGAGAAAGAGAAAAATCGAGGAAGAGGGGATGAGAATGAAAAAGAAGGGAGTGTAGACAAAGAAATTAAAATTAGGGACTGAATCCCAAATCAATATTAGGCAGGGGATTTTATTCCAATTCTCCGTAGGCACAAACAATCGTGTCTCCTTTTTTATTAAAAAAAATAAATTATAGAAGAGGCGTTTTTTTTTAAAAAAAATAATAATAATTTACAGAAGAGGCGAGAACAACTGCACTTTTTTTTTAAAAAAAATAATAATTTATAGTAGACGCGCGAACAATCACACCTCTATTTTTATTTAAAAATAATAATTTGTAGTTCATTTCTATTTTAATAATTAATTTTATAATTGGTGTACGGTTGTCCACGCCTGTCCTTTTATTTTTTTAAAATAATTTTAGATTAGGGCTGTCATCAAATCAAAATAGTTTGTAGGAATAGATGAATATAAAAAATAAATATAAATAAAGAATATGTATATGTATTTATAAAAAATAAAATAATAATAATTTTTTTAAATGATAGGCACCAATAGTGGTGCCTAAAATTTTGTTTTTTAAATGATAGGTGCCGCTTTTGGTGCTTTAATTTTTTTTATTTCTAAACAAATCAAGCTTATACAAGGGTCTTGATATGAAATAATGATAATTTTTTTATATAAAAAATAATAAAGCACAGTAATCTGCGCCAAATTCTTTTTTTATTATTTTGATGCATACTTCGGTCATTACTGCGCTCCGAGCCATACCGTTCCTTTTATTTGTGTCATCGGCCTCTTTTTATCTATGCCATTGACTGGGAACTATTGAAATCCGCAAATTTCTTTAGAAATTAGTTCGGGATGAAAATGTTGAGCTCATTTTCGCTGATATCCTACCAGAAATAGAAGAACGGACTCCGATCTCCGCCTTCAATCCAACTCGATTAAAAATAGCGATGGTCGATCGGAGCTAGGGCTTCGCGATTGAAGAATAGGGGAGAGGAATCGATTTGCAAAAAATGGGAAGGGGGATTTGGGTCTAAGTGTAGAGTAGAATGGTGCTGGGGCGAAGCAGCTGCGTGTTATCAACTATTCATGTGCCTGATTATTCCGTCAACAACGTTTGTTAATTATTTATCAAATTGACATCTAAATTAAATTCCATACTACTAGTAAAAAATAGACATTTTTATAAAATTTTATTTATAAGGACAAATTAAAAAAGAGATCAAATATAAAGACAAGTTGCAATTTTTCCATATTTCATGTATAGTAAATAATTTTATTCTCTGTTCTTTAATAATTTATTTTGTAATACTTTCATTCCAATCCAAGTGATATAATAATTGGTCCAAATTAGTGATTAGAATGACTGGTATACAATTAACATTGCATTGTTTGACTACTTACTGATTGCTTTTAGTATAAATTTGACAGACAAAAATTAATAATAATCATAATAATAATAATAATAATAATAACATAATTTCAAGAAGAAAAAAGGTAGAATTTTGAAACACAATAACTAAAAATGCAATTAGTAGATTATGGTGCCAACAATAATCCTATACTATACAAATGACATAAGTGAACGCACAAGAAAAGAAAGATAAAAATAAAAATAGCAAAGGATCCTGGGCGTGGAGAGAATAAAATGATGATAGGCGAGCAATGAGCATTTCATTTCTGAGCACTTGTCGACCCTTGTTCTTCTTGTTCAATGGTGGTGGTGGTGGCGGCGGTGGTGTTAAAGTAGTGTTGGCGGCAAACAGGCATGTAAACATCTGCGCCGCCTATGAGCTCAGTTTGCGTGGCGCCAATCTTCCTCAGGGTGAAGAAAGCGCGCTTCCCACAAACCTCACACCGAGCTGTTAATTTTGTTACGGTGTCAGCCAGGGGGATGATGTCTAACACCGAACCGAAGCTCCTTCTGCAAGCAACAATCAAATTAAACAAAAACAAAAACAAAAACCGCGCCTTTGTACAATAATGAATTACCTTAAATAATCACCATCGAGGCCGGCAACTAGTACGATCTTGCCTTCAAGATCAGCTGCTTCATAGCAAAAGTCGTATAGATCGCCAAAGAATTGAGCTTCGTCAATGCCAATCAAATCCAGCTGCACCAAACCAAATACATCCACAAATCCAATCAAATACAAACAGGGCTTTCACTTCAGAAAGCAACAACCAACTTACCATGCCCTGCCGCAACTACTATCGCTACCATTAATTGAGTTGTTTCAGCAATTTTCAACAAGTTTTCGGTAATTTGCAATTCATCAAATATGAGTAAATAATTATTAGCTTTTCATCCCAACAATGTTAACTGACATTCATTAATTAGGGTTCTTATTACTTCAGAATAAAAGAGAATACTGTTCGAATCTAATGAAGTTCGAATTACCTACATAACGTAAAGTTGCGAACAACAATCAAACCAGAAATCAAAATTAATCAGGCACAGGTTTAGGTCAAAATTAGATCAAATTGAAAGAAAGAGTGTGATTTAAAGGACTTACTCTAGCATAAGCATCAGCCCCAATTTTGTGCTTAAAAGACAACAGATCTGACAACGCCCAACAAGGGAAATTCGCCCCATCGTGCGTAACCACGGCATCGACAGCGTATCGAGTATCCTTGATCGACTTAATCATCGCCACACTCCTGCAATTCAATGCAATTTGCCCTAATCAGATCTAAAACCATCCCCTGCTTCTAAATTACTCAACAACACCAAAATTAAAAGCAATACCTGCCAGAGTCGGCCTCCGCCATCACGCGGCGGAGTAGGGCGGTGGACTTTCCGGCGAACATTGGTCCGATGATGACGTGAACCTCCCCCTGGCGGCAATTCGCGATCTGCACAGCGAGATCCACAGCTGGGGAAAACTGGGGAGGCATCATCACGGCGAACTTGAAGCGGTTGCTGGGGGAAATTTATTGAAATTGCAATTGAAACCGATCGCCACGAAGAAATTTATAGGCAACAAACACTATAGTGGGAGGAGTGGTGATTAGAAATCGAGTATTGTTTTACAATGAAAATTCGAACGCAAAAATAATGGGAGGGAATCTTAGAAATTAAAATTGGCCTAACTATTTTCCCGCCACTAAATTACATATGATTATTTAGTCGGTCGACTTATTTTAATTTGAATTTTTTATTTAAAAATATATACATAGTTAGAATACTTTATTTATTTAAATAAAAATATAGTACTATTTTTGTTTCAAAATAAATAATTTATATTTATTTTTATTTCGTCATGTCCATGTTTCCTTTAAATAAATTTATTAATTTTAAATATTTAATAAATATAAATTAATTAAATTAAATTCTTAATATTTTTACTTATGGAATTCATTCAAAAATATTTTATTTTTATTTTTATTTTTAATAAATAATTATTTATATATAAAATTCTTTAGTTTTTATAAAATTGGTCTAAATTAATTATAAATGAATAAATGCATTTTTTATTTATTTGTATCGTATAAAATTTTATTATGTATAAAATAATATTTATATTATATAAATAAAGTTAAAAATATTTAAATATATATTCTAAATAAATGTATAGGAGCAAATAAGTTATGTGTTCTCCGATGGAAATACTATTAAAGGAAGATAATTTTAGATAAAATATGTGTTTGCCAAAATTATTTTTTATTAGCATAATTTTTTATTAATATTATTATAAAATATAAATATAATATTTTATAAATTCATAAAAATAAATAATTTACTACAAAATGCTACAAGTTTTAATGTTATCCATATTTTTATACATAACATAAAAAATAAAAAATAAAAAAAATGCATTAAAAAATATAAAAACCTATTCTCAATTTTTTGAACTTTAATAAAAATATTTTTTTATCTCTCTTCTAATTATGTTGGATAGAATGTGCTTATATATAATTTAACATTATATTACGTTTTTATTGTTTTATATGAATATGATTAAGAATAAATTTAAATATAAAATATGTAAAAGTATTTATTAATAATTTATATAATTAATTATTTATTTCATGTTAATTTTTTATTTTTAAAAATATATCAAGTACATAAATATCAATACAAATTATATTAATATTAAATTATTAATTAATATAAATAAATATTTTACAATAAATAAATAATTCTTATTTATATATCATGACCTTTTTTTTCGTTGCAATATGTCAATTTTTTGTCGGAGAAATTTAGATAAAAAGAATTATCTTATTCTTATTAACATAGCCATTTGCGCCTAATAATACCTATAAATTACTTAAATTCATTATATATATTTGTTATCCACCAAAATTAAATAAAGTCCAAAAGTATTTAATGGTAAAAAAAAAAAAAGTAGCGATGACACTAGGGTTGTGTTTGGTACAGAGAAATGAGGCCAGAGAAATGGAAATGGTATCATTTCTCTTGTTTGTTTGAGTCAAGAGAAAAAATAAATCATTTCCATTTCTCTGTTTTCATTTCTCTCCAGAAATGGAGAGAAATGACGTTGCAGTATATATATTTTTTTAATTTTAAAATTTTTTGTACTATTTAATTTTTATAATTTTTTAAAAATTATATTATTTTAATTTTACAAAAAACAAACTTAATTTATTTTTAAAGTATTTAATTTTTACGACATTTTAAGAAATTATACTAAAATATAATCTTAAAAAACATCGTATATAATTTATAAGTTTTTTTTAAAAAAAATTACCAAAAATATTTTTCATGAATTCTCATTCGTTAAAATTCTCTTTTTATCGTGTTAATCATTTATTTTTGTTTGCTCATTCATATATCTGCATTTTTTTTTTAGATTTCTCAAATGAATTCTCTATTTTATCAAACAAGAGAATTAATTCTCATTCTCTACTTAATTCCATTTCTCTCTAATTCTATTCTCTATTCTCATTTCTCTACAATTTCATTCTCTGTATTTTGAATCCATCCGATCCAAAATAGCAAGCAATTAAATTTATTTCCTGCATAATCATTTCCCTTTCTTTTCTTGTTCTAATTTCCTTATCGAACCCGCATTTATTCAATTCAATTCATATTCATCTTTGTTCTTGTTTTCTTTATTTATTTTTTTTTTTCATAATTCAACGATTTCATTTCTACACATTTAGATCAATTTATTTATATTGTGAGACTAGTCTGGATATGTTCTTGATTAGGCCAGAAAATTCAAATTCTTGCCGGGCCGTCATCAAAGAATTTCAGCGACAACAATATTCAATTACATTTTTATTATGTAAAATTTCGTACATTTCAATAGATTTTAAATAGAAAATTTATAAATATTGAGTTTGTATGGGAGTTTGAATTTTGAGTTGAGATTTGAATAGTAAAAATTTTGAATTTGAATAGTTGTATGATGTGATATATAGGTATTGATGTGATGTTTTGAATGTAAAATTGATTTTTAGTATAATATAAAAAATGAAAAATAGGTATTTGATTTGACGTTTTTAGAGGAAAAAAATTGGATGAACAATGTATTTGGGGGAAAATTCCCCAAACAAACACAATATTTTCTGTTGGAACGATTCCTCGTTAAGAATTTTTTTAAAAAGTACAATTTACACACATTAATACAAATATACTCCCTCTTTCTCTTAACAAATTATCCATTTTTTTTTGTCCGTCTTGTAACAAAGTATTCATTTATTTTTTAGTAACTGTACTATCTACCTAACATTAAAAATATCCTTACAACTTACAATATATTATATAAATATTATTATTTTTATCTCATACAATACTTATAAGGTTATTTTAATTTTTTTACTTTATTCCTCCGACGTATCAATATAAAAATAATATATATAAAATTACGTGCAAAAAGTAAATAAATATATAATTATGGAACCGAGAAAGTATATAACATATATTTTATCAACTTACAAAATGTTAATAATTAATTTTTATTTTTATTTTTATTTTTTTTTTACTAGCATAATCTTCATACAAATCTCAAAACTCGCATTTTGTGCCCGAGTTGTGCATGATCTTTTACGTCCTACACAATCTCACTCGTTTTGATCATCTTTAATGTCTAAGGCCACATGGTAGGTTTTAGGTACAAAAAATATGAATTTTTGAAATGTGTAGAATATAGTTTTTCAGGAACTATGTGAATATAATTATATAACATAATAAATTTCGTAATGAATTTATCAAATCAATGTTATATTATTTTATTTATTAGTATATTTTATAATTATAAACATATAATGACGTATTTAAAATATTTATATATTATTATATGATAATTAAATTAAATTTTATTATAAGCAATCTCAAATCTTAATATTCAACAATTTATGGGGTGTGTTTGTTTAGAAGATTTTCAAGGATTTTAACTATTCATCAAATTTTATTATCCAAAAAATATCAAATCAAATATTTATTTTTTATTTTTTATATTATACTAAAATTTAATTTTACATTCAAAACAACACATCAACATCTATTTATATCACATAATACAATTATTTCAATTTAAAATTTTTACTATTCAAATCTCTACTCAAAACTCAAACCCCCAAACAAACAATTTTTAAAGTAAATAATATATACTACAAAATATATGATTTTTAGAATTAATAAATTTAAATTTATGTTATTCATGCTTGTGCATGATCTTCGCAATTTTTATACTTTATGCCTACTTATCAGTATTGTTTTAATTTTTTAAAAAAATAATTTCGTAAAATATACATAAAACAAATTTATTAAAAATATTACACAATTTCTCAAATTATTACTAATTGTAATATAATTTAAAATTTAAAACATTAAATGTTACTTTAAAAAACTTTTAATTATTCTAAATATTAACATTATAATTTTTTATACACATTAAATTGATTTATCAAATAATATTTTAAAGAAAATTATGCAATTTAATTTTAATCAAAAGAAATATAAATAATCCCGTCTATAAACACTTATAAAAAATATATATATGCACATATAAAAATAAAAAATATAATAGTATATACAAACACAAAATAGAAAAAATAATAAATATAAATCACTCGGTGAAAATTTAAAATTAATATTATTGAAAATTTTTGAAGAAGATAATTAATTTTCTTAGAAAAAAATAGAAAAAAAAATAATAATATAAAATAAAGCAAAGAATAGAAGAAAAAAATATATATGATACAAATTGCAAATTTTGAAAAGGGGGATTGGCCCGTATGCGTCAACCATGCTTGTTCAGGATATAAAAAGTGCTATTTCTTAAAATATGTATGATATATATTTTTAACAAGATAAATAAGAAAAATAATAATAATTTAATATATATACAAAATATATTTTATTAATTTCCTATGATTAATATTATTAATTATTTCATAATTTTAATATAATCCATTTTCAAAATTTATATTTGTAGATAAAAAATTATATTATTTTTAATAAAAACAATATTTGTAAATATTATATATAATTTGGATTTAAAGCATATTATATTTTCTACTTGAATCCTTTTGATTCTTATTCCGGATCGATTCATTTTTCAAATTGAATTTGGATGGCTTCTTTGATTCGAAGGGATTTGGTGAAAAGATGAAAAAGGGGACCAGAGATACATGGGAAAATACTCTGAGTATATTACGGTTGAACTGAATGTTCATTCAACATCAACTGAGCTAGAAGAAAGACAACTGATGAGTTATAATTGGGCTAAAAAGAAGGAATACAATGCAAAGATATAAATTAGAATGCAGAGGCCCAACAGGCCCAATATATCATGTCGTCTCCTTCTTTGAGATATTTGTATCTTCTGTAATTGCTTCACACTCCCCCTGCGAACCGAACGTGGCATTGCAAAGTTTGGTTCGAAGAGTCTTGAACATAGTACCGGTTAACGTCTTGGTGAAGATGTCTGCAAGCTGGGAACGGCTCCGAATATGTCTAGGAGAAATGAATCCTTTGATAAACTGATCTCGGACCATATGACATGCTAACTCTATGTGTTTTGTCC